AATTACCCACAGGCAGTGGCACTCATCAACTTGTACTCACATTTCATATTTATTCTATAGCTTTACTTTGCATCTAAATAACCTGCTAAACATATTATTTGGTCTAACAATAGGGCAAAAGAAAACAAAACAATGTTGTTAGGTTCTCCATCAGAGAAAACCTCAACAAGCTCATCTATCACTCCCATGATAGTCACTCCTGCTGGCCAACAACTTATCTCTATTGCACAAATCTCATCAGCACCTTCTGTAAGTCATACTTCAACCTGCTCATTTGAGAGTATCTGTATTCATTTTCTGATTCTGTAGCTTTTGCCTAAATGATGAAAACTTCCCACAGATGGGAGTGTTCTATGTTGAAGCAGAGATGGGCATATTAGATGAGTTCCAAGACTTTTGTGTGCTTGAATGCTCAGGATGCAAACAGAAGAAGCGGACAAAGGATAGAAAGGATTTTGAATGTCCAAAATGCAATCGGAAAACATCATTAGTACCTCGGTACTATACTTTTTTGACTTCTAAATTACACTTTCTACAAAATATAGCATATATTATACACATATTTCAAACTTGCCATCATTTCAGCTGTAGCTTTCAAATTGATCTTATTGACGGTACTGCTACAACCACAGCATCTATCTCTGCTGAATTAGGAGAAAACTTACTGTCCATGACAGCAGAAGACATATTTGACATAACTTGCACTAAGGTTATCTCTCATTCTCACTAGCTACCTGTACATACTTATTGTCATAATACCATATATCTTTAGCACAAACAGTTTACCCCGTATGCTTTGTTCTAAACTGATTATTCTAACTGGTTTCATTTACAGCGACAATCATTGTCTCTTAATCATCTCCATGAGATGCTGTCAAACAAAGTATTCGAAATTCAGCTAAGGAAGTCATCTTGGGGCAGCTCAAATACCACGAATGCCACTTTGTCCATTCTTTCCTACATGGAAAAACAACATACTCCACAGAGCACTACTGATAGGACTTGTAAAAAGATAAAGCCTTTGGAAATAACTGAGGTAGAAGTGCTGCCAACAACTGCTGCAGCTGGTCCTTCGAATGCACTGGCAAAATTTGAACCACCCACACCTACCAAAAAGGTGTAAAAGGTCAGTCTACAACTCCTTTTCGGACCAAACTATAGCTCCAAATGATTATTAGTTCCACATATTTACATTTATTTCAGAAAATGATGCTACAGCTCTCTACTTTTACCTGTAATTTACTTACTTTTATACACGTATCCGCATACTTCCTCTAAAACATTCTAAGCATCATACTTATGTTATGCTCCTGCTTTTACACTTGCTCTTAGTTGCTTTCAAAATTGTCAAGTTCGTTTTGTTTATGTCTAACATAACATTGTACAATCTCACATAAAGTCAGGGTTAAAACCCCTCTATCCATGTTCATATCCATACATTAATTATTATAACATAAGATTCCTGTCATGTTGAATGTTGCCTTCGCTTATTTTAGTTACAACAGTTGACCAATTTTCTTACTTCACAGTTAGCAACAGCTCTTTCACACACTGACACAAATTTTATACTCCTTCCTACTTCTACTCCTTGCAACACCTCAACTCACATCCAATGAAACTGCCTTTCAACTATAAAAACCATAATTACGCCTTGAACATTTTATTTTTACCAATGTTGTTCACATTCATATAAATCACAGTCAAAGAAATCCTTATGTCCGCTGTGTCTTTCTCCTAGCATAAAACTGTACCATCCTTTAGCTCTTTCATTAATGTTTGCCATTTGCTGGTGCAATATCAGCCTATTTACATGTTTCTCTGCATAACTTGCACTGCATACATTGTTCTCTATTTTTAAAATTCTACTTTCTTATTATGTCATACACTATAATACACAATTATCAATAGGAACAATAGGAACAACGTCTCCGTCTACTAGCTAACCTCATTCTGCGTACACTATTAGGCCAATCAGACACAAATTCAACAGCAAATCTATCAGTTTTATGCTGATTTCGTCATTTACTTTCTCTTTGGTCCCTATATTAAAATTGCTTTGCTATCTGCTGCCATATCTGCAGTTTCTAACATACTTTAAACTGCCTAATTACAGGAACTCCGTCACACCATTTTGTCACTTTTGCTTATGCTAGGGACAATATAAGGAATGACTGTCCCAGTGCTCTGGTTTTTTGCATCAGCAAGATTACCTATGGACAAGCAAACTGCTGTGTCCTCTAAATATGATAGACAATGACATGCTAATCTTAAATACAAAAACTACAGCATGTACTATATTATTTTGCTTATATTACATTAGTTAGTATGTACAAATCGTTAAACTTGACATCATAGTTGTGTCTATTGTACATATTCTAAATATTTCTAATAGTACATAATATAATAGATCATATTATCTATCCTCTACAAACACCCTGACCCTTCATTCATTAGTATTACAATATTTTTACTGCCATAATATTTTTACCAAGCACGGGCCTCCCAGCCCTAGTATATAATAGGAGAAGTGATAGTGCTTACGTGTCAGCACCACAATTAATTTCTATTTTTAATTATTTAAATTATTCAAAAAAAATTATCAAACAAAACAAGTTACTGTTTTTAGAATTTTTTACCAATTAAAATTATTTGTTTGTTTACGTTACCGTTTTAAAAGTAAAGTTAGGGGGTTGAATTTCAAATTTTTAAAAACAATTAAATATAAGAAACTGATTAACAAAATATATATTAATAATTATTATCTATAAAAAACAATTAATTATTTCATTTTAAAAAATATTTTAAAGTGATTTTTACAACTAAACGAGGTAATTTTAAAACAGTTTTAAAAAATAAGGCATGTGATTCTTTTTTTTTGGGAGGTTATCATATTTTTAGTTTGAATAATACTAACAATAATATTAATAATAATAATAATAATAATTAAAAATAATAATAATAATAATAATAATAATAGTCATAATCTATATATCTATATATCTATAATATGATAGGTGATAGCGCTTACGTATCAACACCATAAAAACATAATTTTTAAATAATTAAAATCAATTATATAATAAATTAAATTTTATTTTTAAAAATAGATTTATTAAAATATAATAAAAAGAAAAATAAAAAGAAAACTAGACATAACTTCAAACAAAAGAAACGAAAAATATGAACCCCACTTTCTTGAAAACATGGAATTTTGAAATTTTGAAATTCATTCAAATTTAAAATAATAGATGACTATTTTATGTATTAAAATAGTTTTACAATTAAAAAATATTTTAAAAATATTACTAACAAATAGGGAGATGTAATATGTGTGACACAACCTCCTTATTTATAGCAAAATAAATATATAGTAATAATAATAATATATATATATATTATAATAATAATAATTGAGAAATTATTACATAAATAGGGTAAATAATAAATTATTATTTAAAATACTGATTTATGAAAATCTAATAAAAAGAAAAAGAAAAAAAAAACTAGAGATAACTGCAAGCAAAAGAAAATGAAAAATACGTAACCCACTTTCTTAAAAACACGGCATTTTAAAATATTGAAATTTAATAAAATAAATACTCTAATAAATTACTATTTTATTTTTAAAATAGTTTTTACAATTACTAAATATTATAAAATTTATGGAATTTTTTTTTACAATTAAAATTTATTATTTGTAATTATAATGATTAATGATTAATAAATAAATTACAATTTAGAAAACAAAACAAAAATTTTAATCAGTTTTAAAAATTTAAAATAAATAAACATGAAAGCAGTTTAAATAAAACTGCAGTTTTAAAAACTACACACGTGTATATTTTTAGAAAAAGTAGAATTATTTAATTTTAAAAAAAAACTGAAACTGTAATATTAAAACTAAAACTGTGTATTTCTTTTACAGAAATTGAAAGACGTGGGTTTTACTTATAGAGTCCTAATCTCTCTCTATTACTTATAAATTTAAATACCATTTTCAAAAATAAAACAACATTTATTTCAGATTGCGATCAAGTTTACTAATCATCCAAGGATTGTTTACTATTTTGGAGTTCTTCATGGTTTATTTATTTTCCCAATTTTTTTATATTTTATATTGTATTATTTGTATTTCATGATTCGTTTTCTCTTTGGTAGATCTATTGAAGACCTCCATTACCAACGAAGAAATGCTTTTGAAGATGCGTGAAATAGAGATTTATCTAATTAAGAAGGAGAGAACAATTGTATTGCGAGAAACGTTTTTTTTTTGTCAAAAATGGTAATGTTTTTGTTGGTATTTCTCACTATCTTTTCCTTTATTATGTTAGACATGATTTTTTTTGTGATAGCTATCTATTTACTTTTGAATTTGTTACAAATATTTAGCTATAGTAGATTATGACTTCTTTGAATGGTACACCGTGCACAAAACATATTGAAAGATAGGCTAAATCTTGAATGGTAAGTTTTGTGGTAAATTGCAATAGAAATATGTGATAGATTATCAAGAGAAATATTAATAAGTCACTCTATAATGATTAATGTTGAAAACCTTTACCTCACCCCCTATCCCAATCTTCTGAAATAGATGTTAAAATGTGACTTAGTTTGAAAAAATAAATATACAAAGATCATTGTTTACCATTTAAATTTAAATAGATAGTTTTAAAACATTTCATTACATTTCTATTTATGCACAAATTCTAAAAACTTATGAACAAAACAGTGATAAAATAAACAAATTTAGAAACATGTGATAGGGAAAATGGGGTAGTCCTTTTAGTATCCCTTTTTTTGTTTTGTTTTTATCCAATAGAGAGTATTTGTTATTCTGTTTTGAATTTTTTAAATTGGAAAGTCATTTAATCTTTCTGTGTTGTGGCAATACCAAGAGTTCACAAGGTAATGTTCTAACGTTTTTTTAAAAATGATTTTTAGATTTTCAATAAGCTTATAAATATAATTTCTAGAATTTCAGCTTTGATTAAAACTAAACTAACATTAAAATTAAAATTAATTATTTGTAGTCAATTTAAATTAAAAATCTATTTTTTTTTAAATAGAAATTTAAAACAGGTTTTAAAATTAATGTTATATAATTTATAACCGTTTTTATAAATCACGTGATATAACTTAAAAGACACTAAAAAAGTTGACTATTTTAGATAATGCTTTAAATTCTGTTGCAACTTCCTAGCCGTTACTGTTCTCAATTTTTACTTTTATTTAGTGGTTAATTAATTAAAAATTATGTTGGCAACACTATATTATTTACTTTTTTAAAGGTTCATTTGAAAAAATCAAGAAACACATTAACAATACATGCTTTGTATCTATATGTTGTTTTCTTCTTTGGTAGAATTTGCTTTATATTAGGGGGAATGAATTCTAGACAATTATTTAAAAAGGTTAATATCATTTTATTACTATGTAATATACGCAAATCTTTTGAATATATAGTTATCTATTGTAAATTTATAATTCAAATAAGTAAGTATCAATAATTTTTGAAATGCTTACATCTTTCGGTACAATATATCTATTCAATGTGAACTCATCAATGATAAGTAATGAAGAATGGAGTTATACAACGATGAAACTTAGCACATTGCAAACATTTACATACCTTATTTTTTATTGAATTGATTCTTCAAGATAAGAAGGTAGAAAATCATTTTTGAAAAGTTATTCTTTCATCTATTGATTTTAAATTTCTCTGTTGAATTATATTAGGACTGGTATGCTAATTATTATTTTTTTGAAAGATTGTTTCATGAAAGTTATTTTTTTAATATGTAGATTAGTTTATCGAATTGCAACAATTATCTTTAGATCCTCTGCTTAATTTGTTTTTTGGTGTTTAAAGTATGATTTATGTTATGTTTTTCAAGTTGCAACAATCATCAGGATTTTGTAAGTTATATGGCCAAAAAATAATAAAATTACTCAATAAGATTTTAGAATGCTATTATTTCATGCACCTTATTATGTGTAATTTTTTAAAGAATTATGTGTAAATATTATTCATTAAAATAATGAAAGAATTTACGCAGCAAACTAAATTTTTAAAAACAATCAAACTTTCATATAAAATATTATTAATAATTAAGATTAAAACTCATCTTTGGATATTAAAATAAAAAGTGTCAATTTAATTATCTCTTAAAAATATGGCTAGAAGATGTACAAATAATAAAAAAAAATTAAAAAGATTGTTTATATTTAATTTGAACTCAATTCAGAAATGTGAATATAATATGTGTAAATTTCATATATGACATATATAATAGTACTATTTTCAAGCTATAGCAGTAGATTTAAACTTTCAAGCTATAACATTAAAAATTTCAGGTTATAACAAGTTTAAAAAAAAAATGTTTTTATTAATTGGAAAAAACTTTAAAAATAAATAAAAAGACAAACGAATTTTTTTTTTAAAAAACGGAATTAGAAATAATAAAGTAAAAAACTAGAAATTAGTGGGCGTGTAATTTAATTTGAATTTATTGTAGATAATTAATGATTAGCATGAAATAAGGGATCCAAACTAATTAAGAATATTCAGTTTCCTTAATTCACTCTAATTTGTTAAATTAATTCAAAATTTTGATTTTAAAAAATCAATTTCCATTTATTTAATAAAATGATTATCTATTTATGGTTTTTGTATTAATTAATAATATGTAATTAATAAGGAAATATGAAAAAAAACGGAAATAGGGTGTCAATTAAATTTGAATTAATTTAAGATAATTATTAATTAGCATCAATTAAGGAATTTCAAACTATTAAGAATCTTCAGTTTCCTTAATTCACTCTAATTTGTTAAAATTAATTCAAAAATCTGATTTTATCCATTTTTCTTCCACATTTCTCTCTCTTCAATTTTTCTTTCAGTAAATTTTTTCACTGGCGACTAATTGAAGTTTTTTTTTGTGATTGACAACTACGTATCAATATTAATTAAACATGGCGGAAGATGGGATCCTTCAGGTTAGTATTTTTAATTGTTTACTATTTGTATTTGGATTTCAGTGAAATGAAAAAAAAAATGAAACTGTAAATCACATTTTGTGATTTTGTTTTTGTACATCGTCACTATATTGAATGTGATATGTTTTTTTGTATAAACAATACGTTTTGTTCATAATACGTATTAGTTGTTGTGAAACTGTAATATTAGTGATTTTCTTGGTAAGTTTCTGTTTTTTGGTAGGGGTTTAATGTCACCATA